AGCACCCTGGGCCCTGCGCACCCGGGCCGGCCGCACCAGCAGCCCGTAGCCAGGGTTGCACTTGAAGTACTGCTTCCCGCCGATAGAGCCATCATTCTTTCCTGTGGGGAAAGAGGAGGGCGTCAGGGACCAGGGATGGGCACCCTGGGTCCTGCGCCCCGTGCAGGGACACGGGGAGACAGCGCTGGCACCCACGCTTTTCCACCAGGTGGTGGCGCTGCTCTGAGCCTCTCCAGGGCGAACCGGTAAACCTCCACGGGGCAGCGGGCGGCCGCACGGCTGCGTAGGGGCCAAGGCTAAGCATGGAAGGGGCACGCGAGGGCAAGGGCAGCCGCACCCGTGGAGACCGTGACGGAGCCCGAGCTGCACGGCAGAACCATCCGGCTCCTGCAGCCCTGTGCCTCACCCCAGCCCTCTGAGGTGCACTCGGCTGCAGGGAACCTCACCCCTCCTGGATCTGCCACCCTTGGTCGGGGCGGACACACTCGTTCCCATCTCTCCCCCGGCCTGGCCTGCCTGACACAGCTGCCCTGGGCTCAGGAGACGCCGTGGCCCAGGTCTAACACACCCCCAAGTCTCACGGGCTCAGAGCGGGGCTCGTGGAAGGTGGCAACTCCAGTAACAGCTCGCGGGAGGATCCCACAGGGCTGTCAGGAGTGGGCCCGGCTGGAGGTGGCCACCAGGGCGTGAGCAGGAAGGGCACGGGCTTGCTCCTGGCTCCTCCTTACCCGCCCTGCTTCCTGGCTGCCAGGGTGTGCAGCACTTTGTCTCAGGCCAGGCGCGGAGCCAGCGGACCACGGACTGAACCCACCAACACCGTGAGCCAGATACACCTCACACCTCTCGTCCTTTAAATTGTGGGAGTTGAGTATTTTGTGCCCGTAACAGGGCAGTTCAGGGCCCAGGGCGCCCAGCCGTGTCCCAGCCCTCGCGGCCAAGCACATCAGACTCACTCCGGTCCCTCCCTGCTCACACTTTCAGTCTCCCTCAGCCCACGGTGCACCATCCAGCCTGGGCCTGGACCACACCCAGGCCTGGTCCTTGGCTCCTTCCTCCCTCACGGGCCTGTCCAACCCTCTGTCAACCAGCTACAGTCCCCTGTTGTCCCTGACTCTGGCTAATGCTCATCACCTCCACAGCGCCTCAATCTCCTTCCACCTAGGCTTTAATTTTTTTTATTGATTTCCCTTTTTTTAATAAGCAGGGTCTTCTCACTATGTAGCCCAGGCTGGCCTCAAACACCTAGAAATCCTCCTGCCTCACCCTCCTGAGTGCTGGGATTTACAGCTATGCACCACCATGCCCAGTCCCCTAGGCATCTGTAGTACCTCCTGGATACCCTCCCCACCTTCACTCTCCACCAACATCTGTTCTCCAAGACACAATCTTTGAAACCCTCTGATGATTTCCGGTCACACTTGACTCCTTATTGGGGTCACAAGATCCTTGGGGACCGATGTCCCCAGCTCATGGGGCCTCTCTGCTTGCCTGGCCTCACCTTCCGTCCCTGTGCCTCTGCTGCCCACAATACGCCGAAGGTCTGTTCCCTGCCCTTGTCCTACTCTTCATCCCATCACATGTGTTGCTCTCAAAGTTTTAGTTGTTAGTGATTTTCTCCTCTCAAAAGTCCGAGTCCAGTTCCATCACGTGTTTGGTGCTATCTTCAGAATCTAGATCCGCAACTGGAGCACACCATGTAATTACCTACTTACACACTGCATGGCTTAAATGACTTGCTAATCTCTTTGTAAGTCCCCAGTTCAACTGCAGACTCACACTTCCTTCTCACTTCCCCTTTTACACTTCAGAAGCGGATCCCGCCCTGCTTCCTGGCTGCCAGGGTGTGCAGCACTTTGTCTCAGGCCAGGCGCGGAGCCAGCGGACCACGGACTGAACCCACCAACACCGTGAGCCAGATACACCTCACACCTCTCGTCCTTTAAATTGTGGGAGTTGAGTATTTTGTGCCCGTAACAGGGCAGTTCAGGGCCCAGGGCGCCCAGCCGTGTCCCAGCCCTCGCGGCCAAGCACATCAGACTCACTCCGGTCCCTCCCTGCTCACACTTTCAGTCTCCCTCAGCCCACGGTGCACCATCCAGCCTGGGCCTGGACCACACCCAGGCCTGGTCCTTGGCTCCTTCCTCCCTCACGGGCCTGTCCAACCCTCTGTCAACCAGCTACAGTCCCCTGTTGTCCCTGACTCTGGCTAATGCTCATCACCTCCACAGCGCCTCAATCTCCTTCCACCTAGGCTTTAATTTTTTTTATTGATTTCCCTTTTTTTAATAAGCAGGGTCTTCTCACTATGTAGCCCAGGCTGGCCTCAAACACCTAGAAATCCTCCTGCCTCACCCTCCTGAGTGCTGGGATTTACAGCTATGCACCACCATGCCCAGTCCCCTAGGCATCTGTAGTACCTCCTGGATACCCTCCCCACCTTCACTCTCCACCAACATCTGTTCTCCAAGACACAATCTTTGAAACCCTCTGATGATTTCCGGTCACACTTGACTCCTTATTGGGGTCACAAGATCCTTGGGGACCGATGTCCCCAGCTCATGGGGCCTCTCTGCTTGCCTGGCCTCACCTTCCGTCCCTGTGCCTCTGCTGCCCACAATACGCCGAAGGTCTGTTCCCTGCCCTTGTCCTACTCTTCATCCCATCACATGTGTTGCTCTCAAAGTTTTAGTTGTTAGTGATTTTCTCCTCTCAAAAGTCCGAGTCCAGTTCCATCACGTGTTTGGTGCTATCTTCAGAATCTAGATCCGCAACTGGAGCACACCATGTAATTACCTACTTACACACTGCATGGCTTAAATGACTTGCTAATCTCTTTGTAAGTCCCCAGTTCAACTGCAGACTCACACTTCCTTCTCACTTCCCCTTTTACACTTCAGAAGCGGATTTAAAACAAATTCCCAGCCTGTGTGACATTAATCTTCTAGAATCACTTCCAATTCAAGCCATACTGTGCCAAATTATGGTTTTAAAGGTGGCAAGTGACTTCACAGGGAGCACACAGCCTAGAGACAAGCCACCACTGACACGTCCTGCCACCTTGGATGGAGCACGGTAGCTTCCTGCAGGCTGGGACTGTACTGCTCTGGGTGCCCAACCTCCACCTCCTGGCTCTAGACCCAGTGCCACCAAGCTGTCCCCTCCCCTGCTCTGATCACACGTTCTCCACTATCCCGGCCACCAGCCAGGCCGCAGGAGACCTGACGGAGCCCAGCAGCTCAGGCCAACTGCCTAGCTCCACTGGGCACAGCCGCTTAGGAGACCGGTCCAGCCACATGCAAGCTGTGAGGCTCCAAGCCCGCGGCATCCACTCTGAGAGTCACAGCGCTGGGCCCAGCAGAGCCAGAGCAGAGCCCAGCCAATGTCAGATATGGGCCCCTTGAGCCACAGGCAGGAGGGAGGCCCAGGAGTCCAGGCAACACCTGCATCACAGCACAGATCCTGACCATCCAGTGCCAGATAGGGCTGGGGAGGGCACAGCAGCCAGGGGCCCAGGATTCTCCAGGCTACGGAGTTCTGAGTCACATGCCATTGATGGCCAGACTGCAGGCACTTAAAACCCTGCGCCTGGACACTCTGAATGGTGCTTCATGGTGTGGAAGACTTCTCAGGAGAGCTGTTTAAAACAGTGCCCAAAGGCCCCGAGGGACAGGACACTTCCTGAGGTCCCCTAGCCCCATGTCTAAGACCTGCCACTCTCTTAGGAGAACAGAGCCTGCAAAGGACCCCATGTCACCTCACCCAAGGCTCCCAAGCTGTGGCCAAGGTGCCCAGAAGTCTTGGGAACGGAGAGTGGAGGAACCCAGCATCACCAGAGCCTCACCCTTTAACCTAAGACTAAGCTACTGTGCTATTTCAAATGCAGAGGCATCTGTGATTTAGATGGGCTTGTCTTCCTAGCTATTCGGGAGGCTAAGGCAGGAGGATCTTTTCAGCCCAGGAGTTCAAGGAGAGATTGAGCAACACTGCAAGACGCCATCACAAAAAGTGGGGGTGAGCCGGGCGTGGTGGCGCACGCCTGTAATCCCAGCACTCAGGAGGCTGAGGCAGGAGGACTGCTGTGAGTTCAAGGCCAGCCTGAGGCACATAATGACTTCAGGGCCAGTCTGAACTACAAAGGGAGATGGTGCGTTAAAACAAAACAAAAATGGGGGGATTAAAACTATCAACTACATGTGATGGTACACGCCTATATATCCCACCATCCTGGGAGGCTGAGGCAGAAGGATCACAAGTCTGGGTTCCACCTGGGCAACTTAAGAGACTTCGCGAGGCCTGACAACGTAGCTCAGTGCAAAGGCTCTGGTTCATTGCTCAGTACCTCAGTACTGAAAAAAACTAACAAAAGAACAACCAAATTTCTACTAGCTTTTGTTTACCAACCATCTTGAATTTCTAAGAACTTTCTAGAGTTAAGCAAACCCTCACCTGGTGGAGATTTCCTGACTGAGGACGGCCAGAGAGCCCAGCCCGCCGCGCCCACCCTGGCATGCAGCGTCCCCCAGGGCACTCACCGGAGGGCAGGTCGAGCTCCACACCAACCCATGTGCCCTCCTGGAAGTCTGTTGGTCCGATGTACCGCACGATGCCTGTTTTGCTGGTGCCCACGGCAACGTACGCCCCCTCTTTGAGCCACTCGGGGACTTGGCTGGCTTCCTCGGAGTCGGACTCCACTTCCTGCCTTCCCGCGGCCCGCTCCCCGGCGTCCCCGGGCCCTCCTGCAGATGGCAGGTCCT